TTAAGTAATAGAGGTAGAGATAAACTAAACAGAGCATAAGCTATTTAATCCATTTTTATACAAACTGTTCATTGACATTGGTTACCTTTTCACAATATGTCAACATTGTACCTACTTTTCAAAAAGTTGGGCTGTGTAACATATGCTACAAAATGGATGAACCTTGGAAATATGCTAAGTAAAAGAAGACCTATTAAATGGTTTCATTTATATGAGCGATATAAGTGGTCAAGATAGGTAAATCAATACAGACAGAAAAGAAATCCATGATTACTAGAGGCTGAGGGAGGAGAGTGGAAAGTGGCTACTTCGTGAGCACAGCATGTCCTTGTCCCCCTGATGAAAATGTTCCGACACTGGATAGTGGGGATGGCCATGCAAGCCTGAGTAGAACTGCCCCTGTGTGGACTGTAAATCTTTATGACAGTAGAAGGTCTCATTTCTCGACCTCTGCATGGTCAGCAGCACAAATGTAACTCACCACACTACCAGGGCTCCTTCATAGTGACCCAATAAACAACAACAAAAAAAAAACCCAAACTCACTACCATGGAGTTGATGCCAACTCACAGTGACTCCCCTGTGAGACTATAACTGTTTAAGGGAGTAGAAAGCTTTCTCCCAAGGAGCAGCTGGTGGTTTAGAACTGCGGACCTTATAGATCACAGCCATTGAATAACCACTACATCACCATGGTCCCCACTAGTGATGCTACAGTAGGTTAAAATCATTGTCTGTTCTGTAGATAGATGCTGGCTGCAATAAGGACAATGAGCGAGAAGAATTCTTCAAAGCGAGTCTGATGTTTCACTTGTCTTTCTGGCCTGGGAGTACACTTCAAAAGGCAATGGTTCTTAAAGTTCCCCTAGATCCTAGCCCTCCTCAGATCAAAGTGAAACATCAAAAACCATAAAAGAAGAATTTGTCACCATCATTCAGTCTTGCAAGTATTGGACTATTTGGTAGTTTTGCATGAAAATCAGAAAATGTGTGGTGTTTTGAAGCAGGTAAGCCATGGAATGCTTTCTTACCTGAATTCTTCTCTGTAGTCATTCCTGATATACTCAGCTAGAGATGTGCTGTACTTCAGGCAGCTCTTGAGGATGTAAAACTGCTGGTACAACAGAACCGCTTGGCATGGACTTAGCAGTTGAAATGAAGCGGAAGCGGAAAGCCCCTTCACCACTTGCTTCACAATATTGGCCACAAAAGTAATCTAGACAAGGAAAATAGTTCCATGAACACTCCATGTCACTTATTAAGACACCTCTTTCAGCTTCAACTAGACAGCTATGAAACTATCCACCTAGAGTCTACCCTTTCCTGGCATGATAGTGGAAGACAAAATGGGTGCATAAGCAAACGTGGTGAAGAAAGTTGATGGGTCCTGGTTATTAAAAGCTATCGCATCTGGCATCTTAAAGGCTTGTAGTTAAACAAGCAGTCATCTAGCAGAGAAGCAACAAAGCCCACGTGGAAGAAGCACACCAGCCTGTGTGATCATGAGGTGTCAACAGGAGGTATCAGAAGTTCAAAAACTAGCAACCAAATCAATGTGAAGGGGCGTGGATGTAGTGGAGACCTCAAACCCACCTTTAAGATAATTGGACAGTCCCTCACAGAAGGGCCACACTGAAGGGATGATAAATCCAGGGTGCGGTAGAGCACTGGTGAAATATATAACTATCCTCTGATTCTTTAATATTTCCTCCCCTTACTATTATGGTTTATGGTAATCATGTTAGATTTGCATATATTCATTTGTATATTTAAGATGGTTTGGTACATGAAAGTCAAGATAGATAATCCTTCAGAAACAATAAGAGTAGTAACGATTCCCTAAGGGTATGAGAAGAGGAGGGGGGAATGGGGAGATGATAGTACTGATGACTGTATAACCCCACTTAATGGGATTGAACAACAGAATTGTATGTGAATGGTTATATTGGATTGTGTAAGATATGGGAAAAAAACCATTATAGGAAAAAAAAAGAATAAGGGTTCCTGGGGGGTATGGTGGGGATGGGGGAGGTGACAAAGGGAAGCCAATATCAAGGAGTTCAAGATGAAAGAAAATGTTTTGAAACTGATTGTGGTAGCAATTGTCTAACACCGCTTGATAGGATTGAACTGTGGAATGTTATGATATCTGTAAGAGCTCCCAATGAAATGTAGAGTCTAGATTCTAGACTGACGATCTCATTGTCTTCCACCAACTCCCTTGTCTAGTTCTCATCAGAGCTACTGGGCATCTGAATAGCGACCAGTTGGGAATCAGAACTAGCACTGATTTTCAAAGAAGCTCAGCCCCCAAAGTGGAAGGAGAGCATTAGAAGCTCAGAAAGAGCACCAGTAGTTCTATTTGAACAGTAGGCAAAAAATGGCATACATTAGTCATTTGAAAATGGAAACCATAGAAGAACTTCTGCAATCTACTGGTGTTCATTTTTTATGATTTAGTTCATTTTAGGACACAGCTTTTTCATGTGTGAGAGAAGACCCCCAATAATGCCACAAGGAGACCTGTTGGCAGAGTTGGTTATGTTTTGGGCTTGTTAGTCATGCGGTCAACCGTTTGAAGCCATCAGTAGCTCGGAGGGAGAAAGAGGAGGCTTTATGCTCCTAGATGGCCCTTCTTAAGTAAGACGTTTGGTTTGAAGTGTTTCCCCGCTCCCCCGCCTCACCCCCATTATGGTCGGCAAACACAGATCGTGTTTCCAGAATCTGGAGCAGTGGAACAAGTCATTGTTAACTAGGATTGGATTACATTCTTTACTTCTTCAGCTCCTGGCTCTAACCAATTGAGATAATCAGATCAGCTGACAAGCAGGTTCATTTAATAATCTCTAGTTTCTATTCTTGCAAAATTCTCTCACATGACCTGTTTCTACCCAAACTCTCTAGAGTTAGGTTAGAGTTAAAGCTTTCCACATGTTAATGATCCTGGAGTTTTAAATCAGTCTTCTGCCAGCCTTCATCCTGATAAACATCTGTCACCGAATGACATCATACGTAACTCAATTTCTTGGGTGAACTAACCCCGTTGTTGCTGTTGTGGGTCCTTTGGGTCAAACTGATAGGACAAAGTAGAACTGCTCTGTGGAGTTTCTAGGCTGTAATCCTTTTTATTTTATTGATATATAATTCATATATTGTGAAATTCAATCATATTAAGAGTTATGAAATCATCACCATAATCAATTTTAGAACATTTTCTTCTTTCTTGCAGTGATTGCTGATAGCTCCCCATTTCCCCCCAGCTTTCCCTTCCATGTCCTAGGTAACTATTAGTTTGGTTATTGTCTTTATAGACTTACCTATCCTGGATTTCATACACAGAAAAAAGCATATACAACAAGATAATAAAAAAACAAACAAACAGTGACAAAATAAAACAGAAAAACCTCAATCAAAACGAAAGCAGAAATATTAAAAACTGGAACAAGTTTAAAATGGGTCAAAAGGGAGATCAAAAAAGGAGTTACATTTTAACCAACTACATCTTCTATCAACATCTCTCCCATACTCTGATAACAAGGCTACTCAGATCCCTCGACCATGCTAAGAGGGGATTCACCGGAGGCGTAATTCAAGTGTGGGCCCAGCAAATGCATCTGGCCTTCCACTGTCATCCATCACCTTCTCCACACCAGGGTGTTCGCAATGTTAGCGCTGATATCATTCCTTCCTTCAGATTTGGATTTTTTATTTACAATCCTTGGATCACACAGACGGATGTGCTTTTCCATATAGACGTAGTTGACAACTCACTTAGATAGCTGCTTTTTTGAAGACAAGCCTTTAAGACCCCAGACGCTGTTCTTTCTGATGGTGGGGCATCATTTTGACCACACTTTGCGATAGCACCCATACTGCAGAGATCTCTTCATGAGGGCAAGCATCTAACCGGGCTGTGTCATACATTGTTCTTAGATTGGAACTAGAATTAAGTGTGAGCCCAAAATGTATTCATGTATCTATGGTTTATATATATCCCTGGTTCATTTGAGATACGTCGTTATCATTTTATTGGAGAACATGATAAATCATCTCTATGGGGCATACGTTAATTATATTGATGATATCATTAGTTTAGACAATAGTATGAAATTTAAAACACTATTGAGAAAAAGAAATTGCACATGTTAGGCCATCTTTTTTATCAGAATACGTGAATTGTTGGCTTGTCTGCATCAAAAGCTTGAGGACCTGGGCACTATTTACACAGACAGTGGGGGCTGGGGGCAGGGCAAAACGTTCATTAACACTCATTCCCAAAGGCAGTCATGCCGGTAAGATTAACACATATCATAAAAAAACAGCCAAGGCCACATTCCCTGCCATTGAGTCGATGCTGACTCATAGTGACCCGAAGCACAGGATGAAAATGTGGTTTCTGAAACTAACTCTTTATGGGAGGAGAAAGTCTTGTCTTTCTCCCAAGGCGCTCCCGGTTGTTTCAAACTGCTGACCATGCATGTGGTTAGCAACCCAATGCTGTGCTAACTGTGCTACCAGGCCTCCTTATTGAAAAAGCAGAGAGCATGTGAATAATAAATATATGCTAGTCCTGAGTCACCATACATTGTGCACCGTCAAAGGAAGAGATCTAAATCAAAGTCCAATGACCACCAATTCCATAACCTTGGGATAGTAGTCATCTGCTTCTTCTCATACTAGGGAGTTTGGGCCTAAGAGCAAGGGAGTATTTCAGTTCCTTAAATCTGCAACAGGTGAGTTTAAACAAAATCCAGTTTACTAAGTAGGGTTTTCAAATCAGATCCTTCTAGTGTGACCCATGAAGGGGGTTATGCACCGTTAAAGGGAAGAGTCTAAAATTCCAACTGTTTATAGTTTGGGGCCTGGGTCAGCAAAGTGTGGATAGAAACTATATTAAAAGTGTCTAATTAGGAACCTAATATTGGGCACCTTCTTCCCTGGGGTCTACATAATGAATGTTAAGTGTGTTTCCCAGTGGCAGGTTGCCCCATCTGGTGTACCCACCAACAGAGTATAGTCCTCCTAGGCTTTCGTCTTTACCGCAGCAGACCACTGGGGTCTTCCCCCTGAGAAGTAGCTGATGGGTTCAAACGGCCACTCTTTTGGTTCGCAGCCAAGTGCTACCAGAGCTCCTTGAACCACCCTCCAAACAAAGCTCACTGTTATGGAGATAATCCCAACTGTTAGCAACCCTATGGAAACCCCATGGGTTTCTAAGACTGTAAATCTTTACTGAAAGAGGAAGTCTCCTCCTTCTCCCTTGGACTGGCTGGTAGGTGTGAACTGCTGATCTTGTGGTTAGCAGTTCAGTGTGTAACCCACAGCATCATTTTGTTGCTTAACAGTTCTAACTCCATTCCCCACCCCCACCTGTCCCCACTCCCCCTAAAAAACACCAGTGCCATTGAGTTGATTCCAACTCAGAGGCACCCTGGTTAAGGCTTTTGAAGCTACAAATCTTTACAGGAACAGGCAGCTTCATCTTTCTTCTCCAGAGCAGCTAGCGGGCTTGAACTGCCAACCTTGTGATTAGCAATCCAATTCTTACCTGGCAGTGCTACCAGGGGCCCAAGATATTCAAATATCAGTTTAGAGATAAGTCTGCACCCACTATAAGAAAACTCACATGTTTCTGTTGCTGCAAGAGACTATAAACTTATGATACTCTTTGAAGTAGGACTGAGAGTAGTTAAGGTTTCTGTGCTGTTAATGGAGCCAAGATTAATCTCTGTAGAAGATGACTGGTTGTGCTACTGATTAGTGCACCCTCTGGCCCTAGCTAGCTTCTCATAAACATGTGGCCGGGAATTCCGTGTCAAGGAGAGGAATGGTGATAGGATGAATTATGATAGTATGTGATAGAATGAAGGCTGCCAGGAGAGACGTTCACAGATGATCCCAAGGTATATATTCATCCTGCCAATGGAGATCTGTTTAACTTGAGGACCTAATGTCGGGGGTTTAAGTGGAGAGAAAATGTTCTGAGAAACGATGTACAAATGCGCTTTACACAATTGATGTGTGTATGGATTGGGATAACAGTTGTATGAGCCCCTAATAAAATGTTAAAAAAAAACCAACAAAACTTTATTTTATAGCCAGTAATTTAATATACTATTCTCTGCATACAGTTTAGAATTTTTCATAAAATAAAGATCATTTCAGTATCTTTAACATTTCTCGGTTATTAGTTTACATTTTGCTTCTGTTTTATAAGTCAGATCTTATTGAGAAAATTTGTTTTATTAATTGATCACAAGAACATCCAATTAATTAGCTTTGAATGTTGTGGGTTTTTTGGGTTTTTTTACTCGTACATACTTACTATGGGAGGACGACTTTGTAGAAAGGACATTATCCAACTAATAGCAAATTCTGTTGACCCCAATCCAAGATTTCCCTAAGAGACTCAAGGAAAGAAACAAGTTACATGTATGAAGTTCAAGTAATATTCAAGAGGGTAAACAAAAAAACCCAAACTCGCTGCTATTGGGTCACTTCCCATTCTGAGGGAGCGTACAGGACAGAGCAGAACTGGTCTTCTCCTTTTCCAAAGCTATAAATCTCTATGGAAGCAGAAAGCCTCTTCTTCCTGCATACCAATGACTGGTGGGTTTGAACTGCCAGCTTTCTGGTTAGTGACCCAATGTGTAATCCACTGCACTGGCAGGGCTCCTTAATCAATGGGTGCTCATTCTCAAAAGCACTTTTATTCTGAGTAATCAAAACGTCAAAATGTAGTACTTTGGAATAGATGAATATTCTAAGAGTAAAGCCAGCCTCGTGTAAGTTAATTAGTTTGAGAAACCAGTTATAATTTATAATTTTTGTATATTATTAAACATGTATAATCATATGATATGAATGTATAATATGTGATCATCATACAAAGTATAATAGTAAATATGTATTTTACCTGCTGAAAGACCAGAAGTATCTCATATAAAAGTGCTGTGGCTGTATCTGTATACTCCTGGATAAGTTTCTGTAACTAGAATTTTAAAAAATAATCAATGCAGTCTCAGAGGCAGCGCCAGAAAATGATCGTTTCTCTTGGTTCCCTTTAGGTACTTATAAATATAATTGATTAACTGGAAATACAATAAGAGTGCATACTCTTCCTGTTACATTTGGTTCAGTGATTCTCAAGAAACTTTCATTTTAAAAGCTACATGCTTAGTCTTGGCCAAGAAAGTGGTTCAGAGAAAGATTTCATGGCTCACACAGTTAAAACACAAAAAAGGTGCATACCCAACTTGCTAAATTAATCAGATAAACAATGCTACTTCTTTTAAAAACTGTATAAATAGGTTCTCCAGAAGAGAGTTGGAAGAAAACATTCCCTTTCTACTCACCTAGAATGTTTTGAGGGTCATTAGACTATCCCGAACTTGAACCAAAATTATTTCCCGAGGATGGTTTGTTCTTGTTTGGTGCCATCGAGCGGCTCCAACCCATCACAACACTATGCACAACAGAACCCAGCCCAGTCCTGCGCCGTCCTCACAAGGGTTCCTGTGCCTGAGCCCACTGATGCAGCCATTGTGCCAATCCATCTCCTGGAGGGCCTTCCTCTTTTTTGCCACCCCCTCCACTTTACCAAACATGATGTCTTTCTCTAAAGACTGATCTCTCCTGACAATATGTCCAAAGTATATAAGACCAAGTCTTGCCATACTTGTCTCTAAGGAGCAGTCTGGCCTTACTTCTTCCAACATAGATCCGTTTGTCCATGGTACTTTCAATATTCATCTCCAGAACCACAATTCAAATGCATCAATTCCTCTATGAACTTCTTTATTCAATGTCCAACTTTCACATGCATTAAGATGCAATGGAGAATACCATGCCTTGGGTCAGGTGCACTTTAGATCCTCAAAGTACATCCTTGCTCTTCAATACTCTAAAGAGGTCTTGGGCACTAGATTTACCTAAGGCAATATTTCTTTTGATCTCGTCACTGTTGCTTCCATGAGAGAACTGACTGTGGATCCAAGCAAAACAAAATCCTTGACAACTCCAACCTTTTCTCCATTTATCATGGTGTTACCTATTGGTCTAGTTGTGAGAATTTTGATCTTCCTTACATTGAGTTGTAATCTATACTGAAGGATACAATCTTTTATCTTCATCAATAAGGGCTTCGATTCCTCCTCACTTTCAGCAATGCGCAAGGTTGTGTCCTATGCATACTGCAGGTTGTTAATAAGCCTTCCTCCAATCCTGACGCCACTCTCTTCTTCATATAATCCAGCTTCTCTGATGAGAGCATACAACCGTGACACATACTTCCCCGATTTTAAAGCATGCACTATTCCCTTGTTCTGTCCACACAACTGCCTCTTCCTCCATGTACATGTAGGGTGGCTTAGAGACCTGCTATTGGTTTCAAGAACCCTCCAAACAGTTGTGAGGGTGTCTTCTAACCTACAGACCAAATGGCACATACATCTTATTTTTGAGCAGGCTTCCCACTAATGGAATTCATTTCAAAGAAGAGCTCTAGATGGTAGCTACCCCTTCTATTAGGCCTTGGAGCTAAATTTTCTATTATCTGCTCACGGCAGCACTAATATCCCAAGTTACAAAAGATCAGCATGAGGCCCAGATGTTTCTGTTCTATCACCATTAGACATTTTCGCATGAAAACGCCATCGGCAGTTCAATGTTAACAAATCCAAAGCCAAGTTGGATATCGGCCCTTCTCTTCTTCCTGAAATTCTTATCTGACACCCAGGCCAGAAAATCTTCTTATCTTCACTATCCTTTATCTTTACATCAACCCAACTCTCAAAAAAACGATCTGGAGTCTATCCCCTTGACAACTATCATCCCCTGCTGTCTTTTCTTCATTTGTTTATTCAACAAATACATATCAGACATTGGGTACAACAGAGAGCAAACGCAGACATGGTCCTGCCCACAGAGACTACTATAATCTACTTGACGGACATCAAATAATCAAACATATGTGTGGTTACAAATTGAAACAAGGACTATGAAAGGAAAGCTCAACAAGTTAGGAAATCTCTAAAAAGGATACTTAGTCTTATCCTGGGGCCCACAGGGACTCTTTTATAGCCCCCCTCTCTCTCCTTTGGATGACTGCACTGGCTTTTTCACAGCTGGGCATCTCTGAGCTTGGCTTTCACAGGACTCTTATCTCTAATCCACTCAATCCACTGCTGAAAGTATTATTGATACCTCATATGCATAGATCGTATAGTCTCTAAGCATGTATTCCTGGCTGTATTTGATTAATGATCATCTATTCCACCAGACCATAACCTAAGGAGGGCAAATATTATGTTGGTTTTGCATCCCATTCATTCCCACTGCATATCATACTCGGAAGCGTTGGTGATGTAGTGGTTATAGCTTGGGCTGCAATCCACATGGTCAGCAGTTTGAAATCACCAGCAGCTCCAAGGAAGGAAGACTGGACTTTCTACTCCCATAAACAGGGTCTTGGAAACCCACAGGGGGTCATTATGAACCAGCATTGACTCAATGGCATTGAGTTTGGTTTGGGTTTTGTCTGCATATCATACTGTTCAGTTTATAATAGATGCTCAATAGATATTTACTGAGTTAGTAAATGCCAGGGCTTCCTAAAATATTACTCTGATGATATGCTCAAGAACTATTCAATTATGGCTTGTCTTTTTGAAACAAAAGCCATGTTACTCTGGTTCAAAATGAATTAACAACAGCTAATTTATTCTCTCCAAATAAGTACTTTCTAGGCAATTTGATATTTCTATTGTGTTGACAGAGCCCTTGCAAAAACAAATATAACTCTCACCAAGAATGTGCACTGCTCACACAAGTTGAGAGATGGATGGCTTCCAAAGGTAAACTGAGGTATAAGAGTTAACCCCAAATCTCTAAGGATAGTACTTTTTTACCCAGAGGATCCCTATTGTAGAAAGACATGTGTAAACAACACTATCCACAGAGATAGTTTCATCTGATTTTAAAGAATGCTAAATGATTTTCATATATACCAAACCCACTGCCACCACGTCCATTGTGACTCATAGTCACCCTATAGGGCAAAGACAGTAAATCTTTATGGGAGCAGACAGACAGTCTCATCTTTCTCCCATGGAGCAGCTGGTGGGCTTGAACTGCTGCCTCTGGAATAGCAACCCAGAACTTTGTGCCACCAAGTCTCCTCTCAGCACAGCATGCTTTAAAACAGGTTTTTTTTGGTTTTGTTTTGTTTTTTAACATTTTATTAGGGGCTCATACAACTGTTATCCCAATCCATACACA